TTTAGGATCTGAGCCCAGGCTCCTGCTAAGGGGATCTTGTTACCAGGACTTTGGCCTGCTATGGAGGTGCCCTTGGCTGCCTGTCCCTGCTACACTTCTCCAATTACTCCCTGTGAGCCCTTGGTCTGCAGGGGAGAGAAGGTCTCGCTTTGTGGGGGGGCCGATGCCCCTTTAGCTGCCTGGTCCTGCAGCAGCCGGGGCAGGGATTCAGGATACAATGTGGATCCAGCCTCCCACGTGCAAGCCCACAACTGCTGTTCAGCTCTCGGGAGCAGGCGGCTCAAGGGGTCTCAGAGTTGGGACAGAGCAGTGTGGTTTTGCAAGGGCGAAGCCCGGCCTGCTAAGGTCGGGGTCACCTACAGCCTGACCCCACCCTCCAGCCTTACTCCCTGCCGGTGGCTTCCTGCGCTGCCAAGGCTTTTCCTTTCGGTGCCGTCGTTCTCCCCTATGCGTGCTCCGTGCGGCTGTAAGTCGGCTCGCCCCCCTCTGCTCTCTCATCCCTGGCTGGCAGTGCCTCGCTGTACGGACCGGCTCTGTACACATGCCCACATAGCGAGACCCCTCCCTGGCCTGTGTGCTGCCCCCGTGATGCGTGTCGTGAAGCTGCTGTCTGCGGCGTTGTCCCTTTGTGTAGTGTCCATGTACCCAGGATGCATGATTAGAGAGAGACTCATTGTGCACCGGCGGCAGACTAAGCCCGTGGATGCGTGGATGGGCTGCACCACGTATGCTCTCATTAGCTTCTGGGCACCGTGGCGTCGTTTGATCTGTCTTGGTTTGTGGCATGCAAGATGTGGGGTGCTCCCTGGCCATGTCACTCGTACTCCGGTGAGATGGCCCAGCAGCGTGCTAGCACCACCCCGCCTGTCTTCCTGCGGTGCCCATCTGTCCTCAATAAAGCGAGATGAACAACGGCTCCCCGGGCCTGCTGCCTTGTTGCAATGTAAGGAAGGGAGCTTGGGAGGATGGCGGGGGCCGTGTGTGGGCTGGAGAGGCGGCAGTAGAGGTAATGAAGTGCTCAAGGTGATGGGGGTTTTCTCTTTGCTGCCCAAAACAGTGCAGGCAGGAGCGAATGAGGGGCCCTGAGCCAGCCTGGGTTTACAACTCGACTCCTGGTCTCTCCCAGGGCATATCCAAACCCAGTGCAAGGCTGCCAGTGACTGAGTCATTTCGGCAGCCCTGCAGGCCGGTCACAAGGATGTCGGCGGGGGCTAAACACCAGGTACCACCACTGCCTCCCCTGCTAGTGCCCCATGCCCCCAAGTGACCAGCTTCAGGGGTCAAGAGCTGGGCTCAGCACTAAATTCACTCCACTGGCTCCAACCCTTGCTCCTCAGATTGTATCCTACATCTGTTTGCTCCCAGGATGAGAGGAAAGGATGGAGGGGGGGATATTTTTAGAGCTCACCATACAAATATGCTCTGAGAGGGGAGGTTGAGCCAGCTGGATGCTGCTTCCCTTGTTTTTTCACCCACAAATCTGATGCTGAGTGGTGGATGGCTTTTTTCCCTATAGGACACTGATGCTCTGTGGGAGAAGTCTCATAGAGCCTGCCCGGATGCTCCTTGGAGCTCCCTGACCCATACGTGCTCATGCACGGGAGCAGAGAGGACCCTAAAGGGGCTGGAGGTGGGGACCCCTCCCAGCTCACAAGTCCCCCACACTAGCGCTGATATGTGCCAAGGAGATGGAGATGCCAGGCAGGTGAGACTGCACAGCTAGAACCTTTAATACGTTCATTAGAAAAGAGGTTTCTGGTACAAACGATGCAGAACAAATGCCCCGGCAACCTCGGCTTGGCACGAGAGGCAGACGCTAGTTGGTCGCTGATGCCTCTGAGCAGGGGGGCGTCCTGGGGATGGCTCTTGGTCCTTGTGGAGGGGAATTCCTGCTCCCCCAGATCCCAGTCCCTTGGCCCTGCTGCTGCTCTGGGAGTTGCAGAGCGCAGGTCAGGCTCTCGGCCCCTTCCCCACCCCGCACTGCCTGGTGACAGGATGCTGCGTGCAAAGTCCAGGCAGCACGACCTTGCAGCAGCATTCAGGAGACAGACGGGCCTCTGGTCCCCAGAGCTGTGCAATACCTGGGTCAGGTCCCAGCAGAGGAGGGGTGGGCACCAAGGACCCCTTTCTCCCCCATGCTTGCTTCCAGCCTCCCCATGCTAGGGGGTGCATCATCCCCCTTGTATCTCACCCCAGACTGGGGTCTGGGAGCCGAAGGGAAAAGGGGCCATAGGCAGGGAATAGGCTCAGGTCTTCCCGTCTTTTCCCGCATCCACCCTCCCAGCCTGGCACAGTGCTCTGCAAAGTCCTTTCCATGCAACCTCCAGCCTTGGAGGCTTCCTTGGGGGTTCAAATTATTGCTGGGCCCAAACCAGGACCCTGGATCAGAACAACCTCAACATGGGAGCAAGGAGGCAGCAGCAAAGGGCATCAAAATCCCCCCCATCCCAGCTCCAAAATTCACTGTCCAGTCAAGCCACTGCCAGAGATGCTTCCCCGGGACAGTGGCTCTAGCCCCAGGTATGGAAACCGGCGTTGGGAGCCAGGAGCCCACAAACCGCCGTAAGGACCGGGGAGCACCAGGCCCTTCAATGAAACATGCCAAGGGCTCCCTGCCCTCCATCACCTCGGCCCACACTGAGGAGCCAGGGTCCAGCGAGGCCATTGCAGGGTCGGCTGTGCAGTCTCACCAGAGCTCAGAGGCCGCGTGTTTGAACAGAGGTGGTGGGAGCGTGCCGTGTAGGTGCCACCCCTCTCGCCAGCCACGGCCGAGCAGCAAATCTCACCCAGGTGGGATGCAAGAAACAGGGTGGAGGGTGAAGGCTCCTGTTGGAGACGAGCTGGCTTGGCTGCTTCTGGTCTGGAAAACCCTGCTCAGTCCTGGGAAAGGGACCCTTTGGCTTATCCAGTGCAGCTTCGGATAATGTCACAGCCATTCAGAGGCTCACGGATGGGGACAGACCAAGCTGAGGATGTCCACAGTGCAGGAGAGGAGCGGGACTGTGACAAGGGCACAGAAGCGATGGTGTGTCCCGCCAAGGAGATGAAGCCAGAGCTCCTTTAATGAGTGATAGAGCCGTCAGCCACAGAGGCTGGAAGCTCCTGGACCTGCAGGATACAGGGAGCCCCTGGGACAGGACTGGTGCAGAAGTGAGCAGCGTGCCTAAAGCTCAGCCTGCTGCGGAGGGGAGGCCAAGTCCTGGGCTGAAAAGGATCCAGAGGACAGAAGCAGTGGGTGCAGGGCATCAGGGGGCAGGGCTGGGCATGCAAAGCAGCTTGCAGGGTGGTCCGATGCTCCTCTGTGCACCCTGGAGGGGTCTGGACCGCACCGTGTCCATCTCTTCCAGCTTCATGGAGGTTAGGTGTAAGCAGGGGCATTTCCATGGCATCAGTGGGCTTGCAAAGGGGGTAAACCTAGCCCCTGTGACCCTCCCCAGGCCCTTGGTGCTGTCTTACCTCAACCGGCAGGCGCTCTGGTCCTTTGATGCAAATCCAGTTCTGGGCAAGCCGCTCACCTAAGCTTGCTGGGAGCACTTTGCACTAAGACGTGGTGCAGCGAGAGCTCTCCCCTCGGGGGACAAACCCCATGCAGGACTGCGTCCTCGCTGCCCCAGCCCCTCCACATCGACTCAGCTCGCCGGCTGGATCCTCCAGGCCAGGAGGAGGATAAACCACAGCCCTTCTGGTGCCTCCTGGCAGCATGGGGCAATGCTGACGTGAGTCACGGGGCTTGGTGTCTGCAGCACCCGTTTGCAATGCTATGGTTCATGGCAGCAGCGATGTGAGCTTTGGCAGCCCTGATGCCGCAGTCTGGGCCAGTTGCCCCCTAACTGAGAAAACACCCCCAAAATGCATCTGGCATTGGGGCAGTGAGTGATCCAGGTCCCGCTGCACCTCCAAAGTGCTGGAATTTAGTTGGATGCAAGCTGCAGCCGAAGGCACCAGGCTGATAAGTCCCAAGGAAGCCCCCTATGCGCAGGGAGCTCACGGTGGGATGGGGTCCCTGCACCCACGACCTCAGGATCCATCACAACGTGCTACCAGAAGGTCCAGGGCGGCTGCATCATTTCATACGTGGGGATGCTGGAGACATTAACGGGGATGGAGATGATGGCCCAGGGCAAGCCGTGCTGCTCCAAGGAGCGCCGGATCATGTACCTAGGGAGACAGAGCTGTCACGGAGATGCCCACGAACGGTGGGAGTCAGCAAAGCGGGGGGCTCGGAGCTGGATGTGCCCTGGGACTGGCCAGAAGAGGCAGGTCCAGAGCAAACCACCCCTGGACTGCACTGAGGTCTGGTCTGGGCAGGAGCCCAGCAGCTTTCTTGACCCTAGAGAGGGGGGAAATCACTCAGCCCTTCCATAGAGAGACTTCCCTGGCAATTAGGGCTGGGCTCATCATTGGGAGGGCGCAGACTGCAATGCAGAAGGCCACTGGGAGACCCGCCATAGCGACTGAATTAATCCAGGCAGCAAGGGCTGACCACAGGGCAGCTGATGTGTGCTCCCCAGCTCTAGCTAAGTCCTCCAAGGTCCCAGACCGGGGTCTATAGGCTGTAATCTCTGCTATGACCAGGTCTGCAGACAAACAGAGGACTCCTGTCTCCATTGCCTGGGTTATCTACTGGGTGTGGGGGTGGCAAGACTGGCTGCAGGGGGGCACAGCCCTGTCCCCATGCTGCGAGGAGGGGAAGGAGACACGGGCACCCACCCGTCCCTGCCGAGCAGGAAGAGAGCGGGGATGTCGGCGGTGCGCCGGGTGCTATCCTGGATCATCTCGACGTAGAAGCTGTCGTTGTCGTAGGCGTTGTCGGCGATGATCACCGCCCGCCCACCGTGCTCCTGGACCACCCGTGTCTTTGACAGGAATGAGCAGCCCCTGCAACGAGAAATACCCCCACCCCACACACACACAACCCCGGTGATGTCAGAGCCCGTCCTCACCTTGCAAGAGCTGGGCTAGGAGCCTACCCCCACCCTGGAGGGCTCTGGGAGTGGGGGTTTGGTGGCAGGACCAGGGAGGGACTGGCAAGCCTGACTTCTTGGCAGGGCAAAAGGCTACCCCCCCGGCTGCTACGACGGCAAGGCAGCCATGTGCAACTGAGTTCACCGAGGGCGGCTTTCAGCGCGAGTCCAGGGGCAGGCTCCAACGCCTCTCTGGAGCCACGGCCTTTGCCGCCTACCGCTGCAGCCCCCAAGCTATCAGATTCAGCACGCTCCTTCCAGAATAGCAGCGTCCACATGCTTTGACCGCAGCCTCCACACGCCGTGACACCCGCCCGCGCGCTCCCTGCAACCCAGCCTTGGCTGGCTGAGCACAGCAAGGATGCCCGTGTCCAGCTGTCTCTGCACGCAAGAGCCCCGAGATGCAGCACATTTCCTTGCGCAACCCGCTCGCCGGACTACTGCCACGATCACACTGTAAATACCCCCCTGCCCGGTCTTACCCCCGTTCCACCAGGGCGATCTGGTCCTGGATGAAGACGCCATTGCTGAGCTCCCCGCAGGCTTCAGGGGGGTCGGCCGGCACCAGGTGGATCTGCTCGTACCTCGTGTTCTGGGAGGAAATGCCCCGTGCCAGGAGAGAGGGCAGAGGTAGAGGGTTTCTGCTGGGGGGGCTGCAGCTGGAAGATGCCCCACTCCTCCCCCGAAAAAGCCTGGTGTAAGACCAGGGAGCAGCCCATGCTGGCCTCGGGGAGATGCATAGCTAACAGGTCTCCAGCATCCACATTAAGTCCCTGCAGGCAAGACAGGTGTTTCACGGGCCTCTCCTGGCTCCCCCGGCTGCAGCCTGCAGCCAGCCACACACTCGCTGATCTGCACACTGGGAGGAAACTGGTATTGTGCCCAAATGGGGAAACTGAGGCAAGGAGCAGTCCCATGGCAATCAGCAGAGAAGGGGATGGGCTCCCAGGCCAGGGCCCTCACACCCTCTCCTGGCTGCCCAGGGACAGTCTCAGGGGCTCCCTGCTGCATCCTCTTCCTGCAGGCATTTTGAAGCAGGGGGTGTTTGTGCATGCAAGCCCAGGCTCACGCACGCGCCTGCTCCCTGGGAATGCATTCGCACATTAGCACTAGGGTGACTTCGATCACTTTTGTAGGCCAATGCATTACACCGGCGCCAAGAGTAGTAATAACCTCCTTGCACTGAGCAAGCCGCTATCCTGGGATTGAAGCAGACACACAGCAGCTAAACTGGGTTAACTTATATCAGAGTAGCTCTAGCCCTAATTGTCCCTGGGGGGAAGTCTGGACTGCAGGCCAGGTCAGCACACCAGTGCAGGGCTACAGGTTGGTACCTCCTTTCCACAGCAGTGCAAGGGTGTGTGTGTGCAAATCCACTTTGCATTGGTGCTAAGGAGCACAGAAGGTGCAAAGCAATTGTGAACAGGCCCTAAGCCCTATCTAACCTGTTCTTGAACCTAGAAAGAAGCACTTTTCTCCCATTCCAACCAGGATGTCCTGCTCGTGGTTGAGAAATGGCAGCAGGTGGCTGCATCCCATTGTTCTGCTCTTGACAGAGATCCAGAAATGCCGGGGCAGCAGCTGAGTCCTCGCCTGGCAGCCAGAAACTCAGGACCCAGCAAAGCAAACATTGGTTATTAACTCCGGAGTTTTTTATCCCTGCCTTTGCTGCGTGGACTCAGGCAAGTCCCCGTGTCTGCCTCAGTTTCCCCTTTCCATCAAGTGGGACAAATATACTTGCAAGGACTGTTGGGATGCTTGTACGTTTAATGTTTACGAGGCATTTGGTGGGGAAACTGCCAAGCAGCATGTGGAAAGGACTGACAGCCGCTCTCTGGAGGTTGCTATAAGTCAGCCAAATCCATCAGCAATGCCAGAGAGGGGAGACGCTTGCACAAAGACCTTCCCGTCGCTTCTGTGCCAAGATGACACTAAACGGACAGGCCACCAGCTCCAAGCTAGACTCTTCCTCTCTCAAAGCTCTCCCAAGGGATAGTGCATGGGAAATAAGTTCATTGCCCACTGCTCCCACCCTGCCCTGCTTTACCCCACCCTGTTTCTTACACCGTGATCTGCTTTTAGGACCACACGCCAAGAGCAGGCAGCGAAGTTCAGGGTTTTGGTGCATCTCAGACTGGGTGTGAACGGTGGCTTCTCTGAGACCTGGGAAGCAGGTCACAGAGATCCTGGAGCAGCTGCACCTAAATCCCTCACTGCATCCTGTATACACAATGCAAACTGGTCTCTGACCCCTCTAATAGCGGTGGACATCCAAGGCTGCTGCACTCATAGCCAAAATACAGCCTTCTCCTAAGGGAAGCAGGCAGGAGACCCGATCTCCACCTACAACAGGACAGAGGTTCAGATCCCCTGATGCTGTTAGCAAAAGCAAACCCAGAAACAGGAGATGCAATAACCAACTGATCGTTAAGACTTACAAAAACGCCTCCAAAATCCTTGGCCGGAGTGGCTGTGAAAATGTAGCGGATGTCTCCAGGACTCAGCACTTGGAAATATAAGTATTCGTGGATGCGTAAACCTGCAGGGTCATAAAGAAAAAGGGAGGAGGATGGAAAAGCACCTTTGGGAAGGAAGATTTCAAACCCGTTGTTGTTGTTGTCTGTCTGTAAAATAACTCTTCCCAGCAGAGCTGGGGAAGCGACAGTGGGGAAGATACAATCCTCCATTTCTACAGCGCGTTTCACCCAGTGGGATGCCGGAGAAGACATACATGACATACATATACAGGGTGACATGCCGGAGGAGACATACATGATATACATATGCAGGGTGAAATGCTGGAGAAGAAGTACATGGTATATATACAGGGTGACATGCCGGAGATCTACATGACATATATGTATATGTCTACAAGGTGACATGCTGGAGGAGCCATACATGGTATATCTACAGGGTGAAGTCCACCTGCCGCTGAGATGCAGCCAGGTCTGGGGTGGAACGTGGTAGAGGTTTAACGCGCAGCAGGCAGAGAAGGGCACGGCGTGCAACCGAAGCAACCAGGGGACACAACAGAAACGACGCTAGGTGGAATTTGACCAGGACACCTGGGCAAACAGCTCGATCCCTGGCTCCTTTTCAAGGCTATCTGAGGATCTCATGCAAGCCCAGCTCTGTGCCACGCTGAGCCATGGGGGTATGATAAGCCCCATCGAGTTCCCTGTCCAGAACGGTGCCAAGTCCATGCAAGCAAACATCCAAGAGGTGTCACGCTGCTTCCAAACCATCAAGCCCGGTCACAAATAGCCCCTGCGAGGAGGCAGGTGAAGAGCCAGGCGTGGGCACCGCACGAGGCCGCTAGCAGGCGTCTGGCCATGCAAAGAAACCCAGCGCCCTGCACGGGAAGAAGCAGGTCAGGCATGAATGCACCAGCTGCGTTGCAAGCACGAGGCTCCTGACATGCCGCCACTGAAGTGCTCTAATTAATATCTGCACGTTCCCTGCCTCCAGGACTATTTTGGGAGCCAGGCGCGCTGGCAGCGAGGGGTCTGTTGATGAGAGGTGGGTGGAAAGCTCCAGGCTGCGCTGGCAGCCGTGCAGAGCCTGGCAGAGAGATCCCACCGCTCGTGGGAATCTCCCACCGCCCCGGCCCGGGCAGGGGTCTTTCAGACATCAGGATGCGGCCTCTACCTCCGGGCGGAAAGGAGGTTTCACGTGAGTGGCTCTGAAGCCCTAAGAAAGCCCAGAGGCCCCCTGAGAGCAGCAGCAGGGGTCTGTTGCACCCGCGCCGTCCAACCCTGAGTGTGTCGCACACTCCAGCCGTGTCGCACAGGGCCGCCCATAGGGGGTCAGCCCAGCTCTCCCATGCCCCAGGGGGATGTGGGGCACCCATTCACTGTGCTAGCCTCAGTCTTCCCTTCTGCAATATGGGAAGACCTGGCACAGGGAAAGCGGTGGGGGGGCACAGCAGCCAGCGTCCTGCTTTTCGGACACGGTCAATGGATGCTCAAGAGGTCCACGACCCTGGTAGAGAGAAAAGCAACCCCCCCCCACCCCCCTTTGCAATGCACATGTCTGCTCATGGGGTGAAATCCCTTCCTGACCCCAAGCGGACTTGGCACAGCTCAATCCCCACCCCCAGCCGGCACCCAATGCCCCCAAGGAGGGCTTCAATACCCCCTGCCACCTGCAGCACAAAGCAGAAACCCCCAGGCCTGCATCCCTCCCCGCCCAGGAGCTGTCCTAGCACCGTGCCTCAGTTTCCCCAACTCTAAAATGGGTCAAGGGGGCGCCTCCCCCGCCTCTCCCGGGACATCCCAGCGCGTGGCTTCATAGCTGCCAGCACCCCGCACCTCCCGGGACGGAGATCAGCTGCATCCCCCCCACCCCAGGCTAGGGGGACCCCCGGGGCAATTAAAATCTGGGGTGCCCGGGATGCCTGGGGAAGGGAGGGGAGTATTTTGCACCTCCCCCTTCATGCCAGGAGGCGCTTGGGCTTCAGATGGCAAAAGGCAGGGCACTGCGCCGTGCCGCCGGTTGCGGGTCTCGAACCCGCGGCCCACTCACCGTGCGCCAGCGGCGCGGCGCAGAGGTAGAGCACAGCGAACAGCAGCATGGCTGGGCTGCAGCCTCCCCGGCCGGGCCGCCCGCCCCCGTCGCTCATTGGTGCAGCGGCGCGCCCGCCCCGCCGCCCATTGGCTGCGACGCCGGGCCGTCAAACCCCAGCTGGGAGGGGGCGGAGAGGAGGTTCTGAGCTACCGCGCTGTTTCTATTATAGGCGCGGCTAAAAACCAAATGAAGGTTCCAATTCGGAGTGACGCCAGTTAATTTCCCGGGAGGCTGCAGTGACAGCGGCTTATTGCCCTTCTGCCCCCCTGAGGCAGGCCGAAAAGCACTGCTTCATAGGCGGAGAGGAGAAGCGAAATCTGGTGGCCCCATCCATTAGGTCCAAACAATGTGGTTTCTTCTTGCACGCGTCTGGAACCCCCGTGGTGGGGGCGGGTCGTCGCGCGTGGGGCTCACAGGCCAGCAGTCACTCCCTGGAAGGACTCTGCTCAGCTCCGGCCACGCCGCCCGCTTGCCAAATAGTGAGCTATCACGACTCCGTAGGCAACCTGCCCTGCCAAAATCTGAGCCATAATGACACCCCTCGCCTCTCTATGGTCAAAGGCAGGCAAGCAGCACGGCCGCTCTGGTTTCCGGTCATAGAGCTGGCAAGGGAGCACTACTTCCGGCGCGGGAAGCTTCTGGGCGCGCGCTGCATTGTGGGAACTGCCACCACTTCTACCATAGGAGCCGCCGCAGACGCTCCGCCAAGATGATGGTGAGTTCATCCGCCGCCATCCGCGCCATTGGCGCTCCCCTCCGTCCGGGAACGGCTCCCCCGGGGCCCGCGGGCTCCGCGCCCCCAGACCCGGCCGGTATTTGTGGGGGGGTTGCGGAGCGGGTCCCCGCCATGGGGGCTATCGTGGGGGGAGCGGAGGACTAGCTCTCCCAGCAGGCACTGCGCGGCCAGGCCCATTCGCGGGGCGTGAGGTGGGCGCGCTGCATACTGGGACTTGTAGTCCACGTGGGAGGGAAAGGCGTGGGGCCTGGTGAGGGTCGAGGCAGAGCAGTGCATGCTGGGAGCTGAAGTCTCTGCACCCCTCTGGCAGGGGAGGGGTCAGAGTCAGGGGAGGCCCCCCCGACCTGTCCTTGCCCCCCACCAGCCCCAGAGGCAGCCCCCAAATGGGGCAGGGGGTTGGGATTGCAAAGGGACCACGGAGCTTGTGTGCCATGAGATTGTTTTCAGCACCGGGGTTTTTGGCTGATTTGGCCTCGGCTAGAAATCGTATTAAAAAACCAAAATAAACATAGTAGTCCTAGAAAGGAGCAGCCGTGACTGCGTGTTAGGAAGCTGCCCTTCTGCTGGGGGCTGTCCTGGCCGGCGAAGGCAAGGCCGTCTCCTGATATGTTCTGGATATACTGTGTTTAC